GTACAATTTATTGCAAAATGAATAAATTCTGGGTTTTTTAATTTATGAGTAGGCTTCTACCTTAAACTTATTTTTGTGTATTTCGAAACGAGGCTCCTCATCAGCTTCTCATTTGCATACAGAAATTCCCCTTGTGATGTCAGAAGGGGAACTCGTTGGGCAGCTTCCATTGCTGATACGAGTAAATAAGGCAAATATCTTGTGCACTTTTCTTATCTTTGACTAAATTGTCACTTATGTACTTGTTTGTCAAGGAAGAATGGACCATAATGTACACATAGTATCAAATATGTTGCATGGGGTTGAGTTAGATGCGAACTATGTCCGTTCTGGTGTAGCTAGTCACTGTGATCGTCACCGTCACGGGTGCACATTTGTACACTGCTGCTTGACAGTAAGAGGTTTAGCGTACTACTCTTTATAAAATATCTTATCGATAACTTTAAAGAAGTATGTGTGAACTCTTTATTATGCTCCATAAACTTAGATCATGAGTTTCCTCAGAATTATTGCCTGCTTCGTTTAAACTTCGTTTATTTAGCAGGTTACTGGGCACGTCACTACATTCTTTTATTTCATGGATCGTAAAAAACAAAAACAAACATTCAAAATTAAAATAAAAAGAATTAACATATTTTGACATTCTAAACATTAAACTATAGTGATAAAAAAATAGAGAAATAATTAAAAAAAAAAGACAAATCACGGTTACTAAATAAGTGACAGCCACGTGGAAATAAATTGACATTCAGTTGAAATAGGTGAACGCGTATGGTCACGACGAGGACAAGTGCGTGAATGGCAGCATTTAATTGAATAACACAAATAATTGAGAGCGACACATATACAAACAAAATCAGAGCGAATTTGAGTTAGCGTGATTGTCATAAACATGACATCATATTAAACATTTATTTGGTGGAAACGCATTGACAGACCAAGCCCAGATTCTTATTCCATGAATTATTATGCAGATCAAGCTGCAAGTAAAGGTGTGAATTAGACGTTCAACACCAATCACCGAGCAATTCAGAAACTTTTAGCCTGCGAAAATGCAGGGCTGCGTAATTTCATGTTTGTCTGAC